ATAATCTGCAAATTTTGATGTTCGTCAATATTATCACTTTCGTCGGGAGTGTTCATTGCAGTAGCTGTTGCGATGTGTAGCACTTGTTGGCGTACGTCATGATTGTTATGTCCATTGGGAGTGTTCATTTCAGTTTCGATTTGTTGAGAGGGCGACTCCGAAATTTGTCTTTCGGTATCTTGTTCGATGTGCTGAATGTTATCGTCTTGTTTAGTACGGCCGACGTCACCATTCGTATCGTAACGACCAAGAATAGGCGATTCGATACGAGGTATGGAAGGAGTGGCGGGTTCTCTACTTGGTGAACGAGTAGGAGGTATTGAGAGAGATCTTGTGTCTTCATCTTGTTGAGCTTCCGTTTCTTTTCTGCGTTTGTATTTTCCAAGTTCTGCAAGCTGTGAAGTCTGGATCTCCATTTGATCATATTCGGCTTCACTGTACAGGCGCTTCCGGTGCAAAGACCTGCTGCCTTCAAGCATTGAAAGATCTCTTGCATTGTTAAGCGGACTGCATCTTTCATTAGATATTAGTTTGGGCAGAAGTTGTCCTTCCTGTAATTCGTCAGAAGGTGCAGGAGTGGTTATTGCTCGAGCGTCTGAGGTTGAAGCCTTGCGAGAGGCTCTCTCCATCTCCTTAACCCGGGTGCGTAGAGAATCAAGTTCTGTACGAAGATCGTTCACCACACTAGCTCCCTCCATTTCCTCGACTCGAGTGTGTAGCGAATCAAATTCTGAACGAAAATCATTTCCTCTACTAGCTTTCTCCATTTCCTCGACTCGAGTGCGCAGAGAATCAAACTCCGGACGAAGATTATTCCTTCTATTGGTTTTCTTCATCTGCTCGACCCAAGTGTTCAGAGAAGTAAGCTCTGCACGAAGATCATTCACCCCATCAGCTTTCTCGGTCACGCGGATGAGATCATGCTGAAGAGTTTCGACGGCACTTGTAGCTACAAGACGAGCGTTTTGAATCGCGGTCATTTCACGGCGCATATTTTCCATGAAGATCTTAACGCCCTGCATGTCATTCTCAAGGCGACCCACAACAGCATCAATCCGATCAATATCTTTTCGTTGCTCACAAATCGCTGACATGATTTTTGCCTCGCCCAGTATCGACGGTGAAGATGCTGCTGGAGTGAAAGGTTTTTCTACACTTTGGCGGGATATTTCGCTGGGGCCCAGAGCCCCGGGTAGGATTGACGATGGTCGCCTGGACAGTGAGCTTGACCTATTTGAGGATTTCTTCAAGTCATGTGTTTTTGTGACAGATAGCGTTGCTTTTCCCCCTGTTTGTTGCAATTTCATTGATATCTTCTTGGCACATATGAGTAATTGATCCCTATTTGCTATTAGTATGGACATTATCTTATAAATGTAAGCCTCTCATACTTTTTTAGTAGATGACCTTCTGGTGCATTATCGCATAGCAGGCCAAATACTTCACGGCAATTTGCGCAAGCCAAATCTTGGAGAGAACTAAGACGAATGAGTATGGTTGTATTGAACTTGAGAGTTTTAGATCGCATACCTATTTTCTATGACAGTTCCAACCTGTGCTGGACCAGTTGCTAACTTGACAGAACCAATTCCCTTTAATCCTGTGGCATCCCTTATGACTTTGGGTATATAATAAGTCTTCCCGAGACCTTCCCAAGAATTATCAAAGCTGCCGACCTTAAGTCCACACTTAAGACAATAGCATATAATGACTTCTGCGTCTGATGACATCTTGGGCGCAGTGTACTGATCCGAGCCCAGATTTGATGCAAGAATAGAATAGAAGGCTCGAGGTTCGAAAAATGAGAGATAGCATTAATCTTTTCATACAAAATAATGCACTTGCAAAAAGCTAGAGTTGGAATAAATCTGGAGTTTACAGTCGTTGAATGATTGAATATAAAATAGAAATTTGATATCAATCAACCGTACTGGTTAGTGTTGAAACGCGTGAGATCGCGAATTTTCGTGTTTTGCTGTAAGGTTATTAAAATGTAATTGTAATTGTACTGTTCGATTGATTCTTGTCACACAATCATATTGAAGAGGGTGAGAAACAATTATAATGATCAATGTAATAAAGAGATATATTCGATGATCTCTTCACCTACATAGTAGGAATCTCTGAATGTCTGCTTCTCCCCAAGTACTATGTATGTGTGTATGTAATCAGAGTAGATCTTTTGGAACAGGTGCAGCTGTTCATTCGTCGTTCTCACTAGTCCAAATTAGGTAAAGGGTCCGTTTCTGCCATTCACCGCCTAATTAGAATCCATAAAGTTATCATTGACATTTACTAAAATCTTGCGCATGCGACACACAATATATTTCAATAAATTTAACTACGACAATCCTCCAAAATGACTGTCGCAGATATTCCTTTGGTATCGCAGCAATCCGCTGGTGATATTAACCCTAGAAAGCGCAAGCATGAAGAAGATGATGATGAGAAAGAAGCAGAATCCAATTCAATTGGTATGGAAACAGTATCATCAGAACTTCGTCAACCAGATTTGCCAGAATTCAATTTAATACCTGCAAAGAATCCAGCTAAAGAAGAGCTTGGTGAGAAACCTTCATCTGAAGAATGGCAAACGATAGAAAGATATCCAAAAAAGAAAGCCAAGAAAATACCCAAGGCTGGAAATGGAAATTATCCTGCTATTACTTTCGCAGCGAAGGAGTCTAGGCTTTCAGGTCCAATTAAGATTGGAGATTTACAAAGCCTCGTTCTTTATCTTCTTGCAGATGGGATGGCTCCTCAATTTGTTTCTATTCGTCATCGACCACAATTCCGAAAAGTTGTCGTACTTATGGTCCCTGGACTTGAAGAATCTATGTTTGGTACCAAGCCTGTATCTGATTCACATCGACATTCCCCAGATGAATACCTCCCGCGCAAGTTAAAGTCTGAAACTTTGCCTCCAAATTTGAAGCTATTTGCGGATATGTTTGAATACATATGGCCAGTCAAAACACCGGGAGATAAGAAATATGCAAAGATGCATTCTCCTTTACATGCTATGCTAACAGCACCTGTAACTAAAAGCCAAGAAAATAAGAATGATCATGGAAAAGGCCCAAAGAAAGCTAGAGAGCCTAATGGTTGGCAAAACACTCGCACCCCAATTACACAATTCCTTACATCGCCCGAAGATCTTCAAGAAAATGGTTATACCCTTCATCCCGCAACCTATGACGATTTAGTCGATAAAAACAACTTGGCAGAACAGCGGAAGACTTGGGAGCTTGATGAGGCTCATGGATGGGTAGACACAAAAGTTAATAATTTTGATGAAGGATCAGTTCCAGATAATGACTTTGAGCAAGGGAGTTTAACAGTCGGCAGGGAGATCTTTGCTATGGATTGTGAAATGTGTATGACTGGCAAGAATGAGTTCTCACTTACCCGCATAAGTATCGTTGGTTGGGATGGGACAGTTGTTCTTGATGAGCTTGTAAAACCTGAGAAGCCAATCATCGATTATCTCACCCAGTAAGTCTTCATTCCGATGTATGATCATATCACTAACAATATGTAGATACTCTGGTATCACCAAAGAACTGCTTGCTTCAGTTACAACAACATTACAAGACATACAAAAAAGATTAGTCGAATTGTTTCATCCACGAACAATCTTGATCGGCCATTCTCTCGATTCTGATCTTAAAGCTCTCAAACTTACACATCCATATATCATCGATACTGCAGTCATATATCCTCATCCTCGTGGCCGACCACTCAAATCCTCTCTTAAATGGCTTGCCCAGAAATATCTTGGTAAAGAGATACAAAAGGGACATGGAGCAACTGGCCATGATTCAACTGAGGATGCGAGAACGTGTCTTGATCTCGTAAAGCTCAAGTGTGAAAAGGGATCTGATTGGGGAGCAAATGATTCACAAGGTGAGAATATCTTCAAGCGATTAGCTCGAACTGGGGTAAAATATAAAAGCCAAGGAGGAACAGCTATACCGGCTTCTGTAGATGGAAAATCGTCGGCAGCTGTTGATTGGGGTGATCCAAAGAGAGGACCTGGCGGTGCTGCAACTTTCTCGATTGGGTGTTCGAGTGATGAACAAATCCTGGAAGGTGTCATTCGAGCTGTAAATGGGGATCCTGACGGAAAGACGATTCCAGGAGGTGGAGTAGATTTTGTATGGGGAAGATTCAGAGAGCTGGAGGATTTGAAGGAATGGAATAACCAACGACTTCCTCGTGCACCAGAATCTAAAAGCTCAGCGGCAGATGGTAACGGTGCTGCAACCACCGAAGCCAACGATAAAGATGCTACCATGGAAGAGTCAACTTCTATTAACCCAGCAACTGCCGCCGAATCCACCACTACCGAATCTAAAACCCCTACCGAAACTCCCTCGGAAGATACCGCCACTGATCCTTTCGCACCCGCAACCCTCACCCTAACCCAACGTATCCATAAAATCTACCAAGCCCTCCCTCCATGCACAGCCTTTATTATCTACAGCGGTTCCGGCGATCCCAAGGAAATGGTTCGATATCAAAAAATGAAACAACAATTTCAACATGAGTACAAGACGGTGAAGTGGGATCAGCTGAGCGTTAAGTGGACGGATGTCGAGGAACAGGCTATGAGTAAGGCGGCGGATAGAGCGAGGAATGGAGTTGGATTTATTGGGGTTAAGTAGGTGGGTTGTTGGGTGGCTTCAGCGATATTAGGGGGAGAGGGGAGGGAAGAGGGAGGGGAGGGGAGAATGAATACTTGAATGCATGGATGGATGGATGATGTACAATTATGGAGAGAGAGAAAGATACGTTGGAAGAAGTACGAGGAGGGAATGAGGAAGGAATGGTATGGGATAGAGAAAATATGATGAGATAAAGATGTGTAAATCGAAATCGACGCCGATACCAAAAGATGATACCAAAACAGGATCAAGGTATAGGAAACAAACATATGTATGCGTGTATGTGTGCGTGTATGTATATCTCAAGTCCAGTCCCTATCCTATGTACATGCATGAACTATCCAATTCCTCAACGGTACGAGTATCATCAATCCATTTATCCGTTTATCCATCCATCCATCCATCCATCCATCCAGTCTTCCTCATCTCATTTAATATAAAAAACAAAAACAAATATAAATACACATATACACATATACACATATACACATATACCATACCATACCATACCATACCATACCATACCATACTCAAATAAATCATCAAGCTAACTCGCTTGCTCATCTGTTTATTTGTTTGTTTGTTTATTTATTTATTGTCGTCCATCCATTATATTCGTATGATCCCTCCCTACCTACCTACCTAGGTAGTATGTAGTACGTAGTTAGGTACGTAGGAAGTATGTAGGTAGGTAGGTAGATATATACATATACATATACATACATTTTCTCAAATAATCATCGATTCGTGACAAATCCCAAATCCCAAATCTAGAACCCCAAATCCAGAATCCCGAATCTCGAATCAAAAACCAAAAAAATATATAGTTCAAAAAGAAGCATGAGCAGAATAATGTTTCTACACCATTCGACTTTCTATTAATCAAGTCTCTCATAACTTTCTTATTACTTAATATTGATACTCACTCAAACTACCACTTCTATCTCTAATACCCCTTGAACCCTCGCCTCCCTTTCCATTTCCATTTCCATTTCCATTCCCCATCACCTGCTGCGCCACCCATTCCAAAACCGTTTCGTAACAAAGTACATACTGCAGTAGATTTTGTACCATGCTTAATCTCTGTCCTCTAAAATCCTCAACCGTTTTCTCCACCAAATCGGTATCTTGATCAAAAACCCAATCCATATCCGCTTTCTTCCCCGGTCTTCCCCGCCCCATATAATCCCCAGTACTAGAATCGTCGAATTCCATAGGTGTAGTACCATGTTTTTGTTCTTTGCGTTGACGTTTCAACATATCAATCACAGAATCAATTGTGCAAAAGGTTCCCGTGCGACCACAGCCCGCACTACAATGTACAAGCATTGGTCTTGTATTTTCTCCTTCTGGTTCACCCGACCGGGGGGTTTCGGTTACGGAAGCGGAGGCGCGTTGCATAGAATTGGCGAGGTGTATAAGAGCGAGTAAATGACTGGGTTTTGCCGGAGAAGCAAAATCTGGCCAGGAAGAATAATGTACTTGTGTAATTTCTCGCATTGGTGTAAAAGGATGGGCGGCATGGGAAAGTGTAAATTTACGGACGATGACATGAGCATCATCCGTTGTAGGAGATGGGGGTGTGACTTGAGTAGTACTTGCGCGCTTTCGTCCAGAATCTCGCCTGTCGGTTGAATTTCGATGCTTAGTGGCATCAAGGTGAACTTTCTTTTCGGATACCAATTTAAGCTTGAGGTGACCATATTCGTTACTAGACCAATATGAGTGGCATTTCAGTTGTCCCCCCTCTGCTTCCGCAGTCAACATGACAATGACTCGTACATCTTGGTCCCAAATAACACTCCAGAAATCCTACAAGGTGTTAGTACCAAAAAAGGGAAATAAGGGTAGCGAAAGTACTAACTTCAAAGGTTGCAGGCAAGGGCCCTTGAGAAGCAATGTAACGTTTATTACTCCTTGATGCTTTAATATGACTTGCGTTAACATAATCACACGTGCCTTCTGTACGACCTTGTAGTTTCACTCTGGCATGCTCGAACGGCCAAATATTGTTGTATCTGTTTTTGCTGCCCTTCTCAACACCAGCTATCTGAACATCATTGGAATTATTAGAGGCTTCTGGCCCATTTCCGTATCGAACGCCTTGTGTCAATGCTTTTGTCATCCTTGCCAACTCTGCTTGCTCAATATGAAGAAATCTGTCTGAAACGATCTTGCCATGATCTTCTTTCTTTGCAGCCTTTGATAACCACCTCGGAACAACACTCATAGCAGATGGGTCTCTCGCCAGATCCTCCGGGACTGCAATATCTCTCTGACCAACACCATCCATGAGATCTTGATTCTGTCGAATATTGCCAAAAAATGGATTTGCTGCATTCTTTGTTGCTGGCATGGCACATCCACCGGCTACTGGTGCAACTCCAGGCAATGTCGTTCCAAGCGTCAGGTTGATTCGGGATGGCTGCGAGGATTGTGTTGAACCCCGGTCAACTGACCTTGGGAAATTTTGAGCAAAGGTTTCGAATCCACCTTTCAATATATATCTTGCTCCGTTCCAGCCTTCATTGGTGAACTTTTTCAGGGTATTAATAGCGAGTGCTGCATCTTTTTTATCTGAAGATCTATTGTCATAAGCAACGATATATTTAGCTTGCCTCCATTTTGAAAATCTGGTTTTATCTTCCTCGTTTGTAAAAGTATCTTGAAGCTTCTGAAGATTGAATGAAGGCCGTTTTAACAAGGTTGTAGGTATGCATAAATTGAGGGCATTTCCAATTCTTGATTGTGAGAAGATGCTAAAAGTTCGGCAGTCGAGTAGCAATAATTCTATCGAGGGACAACGATCCATCATTTCCTTCAACTGTGCTGGCGTAATCATGGCTGGCCCATCTTCTAACATCGACGGGAGTGTGTCCGCTCGCTGGTGTTGACGCGGTTGTGGTACTCGTGGCGATGGAGAATCTGCTTTATTTTGAGGTAAGGAAAGTCTAGGGTGTCTTTCGTCTAGATGTGAGAGGTTGTTTCTTTGCACGGGTGACATTGAAGTTGAAAAACTGGCAGGTGACATTTGGCGTGGGAATTCGAAGAATGAAGGAGGGTTTGTGGAGGAAGTAGGGACTCGTTCAGACGAAGATACATATGCTGAATCCGCTCCACTATCAACATCAGATGGTGCATCCCTATTTCTTGGAATGGATCTAGGTGACGGAGGTCTATCGTGTGCATCGACTTTGGAGGGTTTTTTGTCGTTCTTGGGACGTAGTAAGGAAGGACCCGGAGACATTGAGAAATTTGCCAGGCCCCCATGACTCAGATTGAATCTGTTGTTAGATTCAGATTGCTTTTTGAAAGCCTCAAATTCAGGATTTGAGTTTATAGGTATATGTTCTGGTGTGGCACCACCAAATGAGAACTAAAGAGATCCAAAATTAGAAATGACTTCATCATGGGTATAAGTCGGATATTGGACTCACTATGGAAGACGTGGTAGGACTCCAATTTGCTTTGGGTAGGGCGTTGGTTTCTCTAGGATTACTTGACGGCTCAACAATGAGACCGAAGTAATTTGGACTGGCACTCCGAACTTGCTCGGCTTGAATACCTGGGGATCGTAAGGCGGAAGTAGGCGGCAGAGTTTGCCCTACGGATGCAGGTATTCTCCCTGTTGCTGGACTCATTGTTGGGCTCGTGGCAGATGGATTTGTAGCGGTTCTATGTGATTGCGAATGCGAATGCGAATGTGAATGTGGATGTGGATGTGACTGAGAAGACCTGGGTGAAGGTCTCGTTGCGGCTTTGACAACCATTTGAATTTGAGGCGCAAAAGCTTTATCCTTTTTGTTACAATAATATTCCTTCCCTCCGTGGGCGACTGACTCTGTTTACCAAATAACCAAGTGTATATTATTCGGACGTAATTGCCATCGTTTCTATTTACTGCGACGTAGAGTGGAAATGCGGTTCTTGAAATGAGGTTTGTAATTATCGAATTTGGTGCGGCAGGGTGATCGTGGTACTCGTAAATTGACCGACGGTTTGAAGGTGGATCGTGGTTGACTTTGCGCAGATGACAACGGATGACAGCAAATCTAATAATAAAGTCGAAAGAAGGTTTCTTGATTACTCTCTCAATGCTTGCTTGGTATCTTGATCGCTTGTTTGTTCGTATATCCTTTCCTGAAACAATATCCTTCTCCTTTGGGACGTGTGTGAGTTAAGATTTCGAAATGGGCGAAAGAAGTGGAAGAGATAGGGCTATAGGATTCGATGACGGACTTGAGACGGGGATCATTGACTTTTTGGGGCGAATGATCCGTAATAGGTAGAGAATTAAGGCAAAGGCAAATAAGAGGGAAGGAGAGAAAGAAAGTAAGTAAGTAAGTAAGAAAGAAAGAAAGAAAGAAAGAAGGCTGATGGTATTCAATTCAGGGTTTTTCTTTTTTTTTCCTTTTTTCTGACTAGAGGGGTGCTGTCACTTGGATGGTGGTGGGTGGGTTTGAAAGTTGAGTTTTAAGTTAGATGTAGTATGTGTGAATGTGTGTGTGTATGTCTTATGTATGTATGTATGTATGTGTGTATGTGTGTGTGTATGTAGGTGTGTATGTAGGTAATATGTACGATGGAGTTGTTGGAGTTGTAGTAATTGTCGTGAGTTGTCGTGAGTGGCCGAGCGAGTGGACCGGTGGATGAGGTGGATGATACGGTATGAGATGGTATGGGATGATGTGATGGTATAATATGATAGATTCTCGCTGGTCGTGAATAGGTAGGTAAGTAGGTAGGTAGGGACTCTGGGAGGTAGTTGGTTACCCAAGGACTGTAGATGTGTTTCGATATCTAATTCTTCCCTTCTCTTCTCCTCTCATATGACTGCGTAAGTGCTTTCGTTGAATGCTTTGGAGTGCTTGGAAGACTCGAGTTTGTGGTTAATTGTTAATTTATTTGAGTAAAGGGAAGCATGAGAAAGGTTGCGAGAGGGAGATCAGCAAGTTTATGCTACCGATTCGGAATAGAGGAGGGTCAGATATTGGACCTGCATGGGTCAGAACGATGATATCAACTGGTTGGCTCGATGGATTAGTTTCGTTCCGGTTAATCTGATTTTTCTTATGCTTTTCTACATTTCTAATGGTGACGGACAGTGTTGATGACGATGTTATTGAGTGCAGATCATTCAAGAAAAATCAAGGGTCGGACGGCTTAGATTCCGTTGAATGGGGGAGCTGATGGGTACGAATTGGAGATTGGAGATTGGAGATTAGAGAATCCAGAAAGCCAGAGGGAAGAGAGATTGAATTGGAAACCTCAGTATAAAGCATTATTTGATCATCAGTAGATATAATATATATATATATTGGTATATACAACATATATACACACGCATAATCTCTATGTCCCTGGGTATCTATCTCCCTCTATTCTACTCCGTATCTTCGTTTTATAGCCAAAGAGAAACGAGATGAGAATGAAGAAGAGAAGAAAAGGGGGGGCTATAGACTACTGGGTAGGTAGGTAGTACGTACTTGATTTGGGAAAGATGACGATGGAGTGAATGCAAAGCGCCTACCTACTACCTAGTCTAGTATCTACCTGCTAGCTACGAGTAGACATTGGTCAAAAAGTTAAATAAATAACAATTGTTCTAGAAGGGTTGGTGGTTTCGGATTTCTAATCTTTTCTTTTCCTTGGCCCAGTACGGGCTATAGATTGGTTTGTACGAGTATATTATCGATATTTCGTCTTGGAAGAACTACTGTCTACCTACGAGGGCGTGTTTTTGATAAGGGCCCGGATCTGTGTGCAAGCACTTTTCACACCAAAAATCACTTACTTTAGAATTCAATATCAAATTTAATTAATATTATTATATATTTGAAATTTTATAATATAATTTTAGATTTTTTATAGCATTTTTCAATATAATTAAAATCTATATAGAATTATTAGGATTTAAAATTGTTATATAAAATAATGTTTATTTTAAGAGTTAAAATTCTATATAAGATTTATCAATTAATGTCTAATCAAATTTAATAAAATTGATATAAAAATAAATATTTATTAAATTTTTAAATATATTTCAGATTTCAAGATTATATAATGAATATTCGAATTATATTTTATTTATAAAAATAGGGAATAAAGTATACTTTTGGTGAGGAAATTCGCTTAAATTCAACCCGGGCCCTCATCAAAAACACGCCCTCGTACTCGTCGATACAATGTAGAGTAGAAGTAGCAGTGGAGAACTTGACACTCATCGCTTTTCACTATCCGGAGCATGTCTCTAGGTATGTACAGAGTACTTCCAGGGCTATCTATAATGCCATCTAGATGTGGCCATTCAACTCGTCCAGGGTCATCGGCTGCACATCACTACCTACCTCGTACATCAATCAGTAAATCCAATCCTCACCATTTCTATATTCTGTATATACAGCCCTCTCTCTCTCTCTCTCTCTATTCGAGTACATACAGTACAGTACACTGTATATGGATATATCCCATCATCCCAAAATCACATTAGACAACAACATTCCTCAAATCCAATACTTTCAAAGTCTTCATCCCCAACATATTCGAAGACAATAAACTACAGTATTCACCAATCCCAACATCCTGCATCCTGCTGATTACAAAGGCTTTCTTGTCTTTGTTATCTTCCAGTACGTCATTTGTTTTACTTTACTTGGTCATCGTGTGTTAATAACAAACCCCCTTTATAGACCGAACAGCGGACCGAACAGGAGACCGAAGAGTAAAGACTATTCAAGACAGAATACGGGACACAGAATATCAGATCAAGACGAGTTGATTGATACGGAGGCAAAAGTCCATTCCATTCCATTAATAAATAAATACCCATCCACCAATTCAAGTATCCAAGTAATAAGACAGAAAACAAGTCTTAACTCCGATTTCCCTCTTACGCCCCCTCGCCTCTCTATCTAGTATCTCTCTTTCTCTTTCTCTTTCTCTCTCCCTCTTCCTTCCCTCAATCATATGATCCCCACAGCCAGCTTATTCCTCTCATGATATTCCCACTACGTACTCACTTATTATTACTGATCAGCAGTTTCTCCATCCATATTCCACGAAAATCCTCGTCAAGAATTCCTCAATCATCAGATCCATCCATCACCTGTTCAACAATCATTCCATTTCCAATAGATACCATCTCACAAATCTCACAAGAAACCGATGATCCAAAAGTCTAGACCATCAACCGTGAAGAAATACTCGAGTACAGCATACAAAATGTCTTGTAACATCATCTATTCGAATTTCCATGTCACACAATGGAGATTAGCCTCTTTTCTACATTCCATCTCATCCCATCTTGTAATCAATCACGAAATTGGAAATGGGGAATCCCCAGAATTATTAATATATCAAAGGATTTGATTTCGATCAAGAGACAAAATCATTCATTATTTTCCGTGAAATACCCAGTTCCTAAATTGAATGACGCTCCGCTGGGCCACTGCCGTGGAGGCTTCTTCGCTTCGCTCTGGATTTGATTAATGTACAGACTGTAGTCTGTATGGTAGGTAACATCCAGTACTGCAGGTATGCATACATAGTAGATAGTATTGCTTACTAAATAAACATCGAATTTTCTCTCCTCTTCTCGTCTCTTCTCTTCTTCTCTCCATCTCTCCCTCTCCTCTCTGCTCACTCCACAATCTCTCAGCCCTAGGTCTCAACGGCGAAGTGACGGTCAACTGCATACCAGATCAAATCTATTGACGTCATTCGCACACATCTATCTAGGTACCTAGCACAATCACATCACGTGTACCACCAGCATGTCTCACATCCCGCCTATCGGACGTTTTCTTTCTTTCTCCGATCGAATATTGAAAAATATGGGGGTTCGTTGCATTGGAGATTGGATATGATGGGCAAAACGTGAGTTCTTCAGATTGGGTGGCTCGAGGGTGGGTGCTGGGTGCACGGTGTGGGACATGGTGTACAAGTACTGTAAAGTAATGAGTTCGAGCGCAGCGAGCTATGGGGGTTTGGGGGCTTGCCCCCATGAAGAATGGGAGGACCGAGTATCTTCTCCAAGACTTATTAGGTGATGTAGGATGTAGTATCGAGTTTTCTATTGGATTATTATCTGAGAGGTTTATAGATCGATTAATATAGTCACGTAGCAGCTATGAAGAAGATGTATATACTCACACACGCATCTCACTTCCTCGAATGCTTACCATTCCATTGTGCTTCTATGTTACTATAGTACTGAAAACAAATTCAATGTTTACAGTACTCGAGTATCAAAAGATTAAATAATATCTATCTAAGGAGTTAGTCCCTGGTATACATTTCATGATTCTTTAATGTAAGTACATTGATCACATGACATGACATTCCATTCCATCACATAACCTTACCAACCTTATCAAAAGATAATCCCTTACACAATTTTTCACCTGATAGCTTCATTTCTTCATCCCCTTATCTCCCACCCTCATATCAAAATACGCGGGGTGACTTCGCGAAAATGCATCTCAGACACGCTAAATGTTAGATAAACAATTTCTCCGTTCGTGCCTCCGCAATCTTCCTTGTGGTGGGAGTTATCTGATTGGTTCTCGTCGTGCTTTTCAAGGGGATGGGGACGAACGTTCGGAAGACATGGGGCCATTGGCCTTGCGATAAGAATCGTTCGAAAAAAGTTTATGGAGACAGACGGGAGAGGTGTTTCTGGTGTAAGGTTGTGCTGCTGAGATGGCGAACAGTAATTTTGTCGGAAATAGTTTTCTTGATAAGGGATAAGGAATTAGACGTTTGCCTTTGCTATTATCGTATGAGATGTATATATATAATATGTAGGTAGGTAGGTAGGGTGTTGAGTTCTTCTGTCCAAGTGTGTCCTGTTTCTCCATTTACATCTCTCGATTTTCGCGTGCGTGCCATCATCCAGTCTCTCTATCTCTACAGATCTTTGGCACGGAGAAGCTCTTCTTATATTTCTATCTCCAAGTAGTGGCCATCACCAACACGTACTGTCTAGATACCATTGGCACCGGATATCCAATCCATTCTCTCTTCTCACTCCCCTCCGACCACCCACTCTGAACCCACCTCCTCTCCAAATCCAAAATGTCCCTCCACAAATCCCGCTCCCGAAGTTCGCTATCCGAAAACGGCGACGTGAAAGTAACCCCCGGCGTCACCCAAAAGATCGACGACCCCGAATCCAAACTCGGTCTCGCTTCCGAATCCGCATATGTCTTCGATCACCAAGCAGAGAGGGCTCTGTGTCGAAAGTTCGATTTCCGTTTGCTGCCCGTGCTAGCTTGCATGTACCTGTTCAACTCGCTTGACAAGGGAAATTTGGGAAATGCAAAAACGGATGGCATGGAAAAGGATTTGGGCTTCAAGAGTAATCAGTACAATATTATCTTGAGTGTATTTTATATACCTTATGTGTTATGCGCACTTCCTATTGTGAGTTTTTCTGGGTTTTACTTTTTGTCATCTAAGTACTTTGGGGGTTCGGCTGTTGGCCTAGTGTCAATGTCTGAGTTGATTGAATGCTTCCGATATAAGTTCATTTATCCAAGTGGGATCTGAACAGTCTATGGAGAGTTAAAGGGGCTTCAAATGTGCTCTATCGTCGTTTATCCATCAACAAAATTCTAACATCCCATAGGCTATGCTTGGAAAGAAGTATGGACCTGCAACAGTCCTACCCATCCTCATGATGTTCTTCGGATCATTCACCATTCTCGGAGGTAGATCATATCGTTCAACCCTCCAACAATACCAAACTAATCTCTTTCCACAGTCGCAGCTCAAAACTTCGGCGGTATGATGACTCTCAGATGGTTCCTCGGCATGTCCGAATCCGCCTTCTTCCCCCTCGTAATCTACTACCTCACCACCTTCTACCGTCGTGGAGAACTCGCTCGTCGCCTCGCCATCTTCTACGCAGCTAGTAACATCGCCTCTGCATTCTCCGGTCTCCTCGCCGTCGGATGTTTCCAAATTACCAACACCCCTCTCTACCCCTGGCGATACCTCTTCCTCATCGAAGGCAGCGCCACCCTCCTCTTCGCCTTCTTCGCCTTCTTCTACCTCCCCGCCTCGGCCGCGACGGCCAAATTCCTCACCGAATCCGAACGCACCCTCGCCTACCACCGCATCCAAGTCGACTCCTCCTCCATCGTCAACGAAGAATTCCACCTCCACGACTCCCTCGCCATCTTCAAACAACCCTCCACCTACGCCTTCCTCGCCATCGAAATCTGTCTCGGCGTCCCCCTCCAATCCGTCAACCTCTTCCTCCCCCAAATCGTCGCCCGTCTCGGCTACTCCACCATCAAAACCAACCTCTACACCGTCGCCCCCAATGTCTCCGGCGCAGTCATGCTCCTCATCCTCGCCTTCTCGTCAGACTACACC